ACTTCACCTATGAATGGCATATTCCTTTTGTACTGTGGAATAACAATTCTCTGAACCTTGTCAGATTATACCAAACACCACTGGAGATTTCTCCTGGGCTTCAAGCTGTGAAAAGTCCTTTATCAAAAGCTGGAAATAGAGGGGGAAGGAGGGATCTTGTGCTGACTTCCATGTAAAAAGATTACCAAAGCCAAAATTATGATGCTTAGTTGCCCCTTGACAGGCACAAATATAGCATAGCATCACTGTCTATACTTTGGGGGCTTACAGATCCAATGTCTTGTGTCTGGAGATAAAACTCAAGGTCTCTTGAGCTGTAAACAGAGAGAACAGAGCTGCAGCAGCTCAGAAGGAGTTGATGAAGTTCAAATACGCATTCAGGAAGCCTGTTGGATCCTCCAGCTGGGGGTAATGGCTGATGTGGTCATCCAGCACCGACACTGTGGACATGGGAAGCACTTTTCTGTTGGAAGAATGGAACAAGACTTAAGCACAGGAACTGCAGCAGGCACAGAAAGCCAGCAGCTGGTGAATGCTGTCTTTCACAGTTGGGATTCTCTCCATAACTTGGATTTTGGCACCAAAAACCCTCCAAGAGCTGCAGCTGACCCCTGTTCTATTTTCTGGAATTAACCACATCAGACAGTTAAGATTTATCATCACATGCACGATAGCTGTGACTAAGAATTGTGACTTTGATGCCTAAAACTGGGAAACAATTTCCAAACTACTGTCCTGCCTGACTATGTAGATTGGAGGTGAAAAGGAAAACCAACCTATGGAAAGGGAACTGAGATAAAACGCCCTGTAAAATGAAACTCCAGCTGCATACTGCTGCTCTGTGTCTTACCTGTAAAGCTGGAGAAACTCTGGGTGTGGATTCACAGGGTCCAGGGGTCCGTAAATTAAATGCACTGCAAGAAAGAAGCACAAATTGAGCTTCTGTATCCATGGACATTCTTAACCAAGCCAAGGAGGTGACCCAACTGAACCTGCACAGATCCAACTTGAGCTTTGTTATTCTCATCAGCATTGCAAGAAGCTCCTTGATGAATGGAAGGAGCCAGCACCATGCTTCAGCATCTCCAGGGATGGGAGCCTCACTTCAAATGGGAAAAAAAAAGTTCCTACTTACGTGGGACAGAGGTGGACATCAAAGCCCCAACCCAGCGGTCTCTGTGCTTCTTCCTCTGGTTTATGTACTGCAAAATACTGAAGAGAAGCCCATTGTTACACAGTTGATGTGTTCAGATCACACCCCGCATCTTTCCCAAAGCCCAACAGAAGCATCTGGTGACTGAGGATCCTACATCCAGATGCCTGGCTGAGCACTGGCAACCTTCAAAAGTGTCAAACTCAAGAACTCCTGCAGCAATCCCAGCAGCCTACCTGTCCACAACGAGATTGCCATCGTTGGTCCTCACCGCCGTCCACATGTCCCAGTACTCTGCCTGTGAGGGCTGTGTGTATGGCCCAAAGACAGCTCCAAGCCTGAAAAGAGTCCAGGGCACAAAAGGGTCAGCACTCCCAGCTTATGCTGTGAAACACGTGGGTGCCAGCAAACCCTACAGCTCATCCCCCAAACATGCTTCACATTCGCCCCGAAGGTTTTTTGGAAATCGAAGAAATGTGCAATATCTGGTGAAAATATGAATCTGATCCTATACTGTATGTAAAGCGTGGTTTAGAGGTTTTATTGCCTCTAACACATGCTATTCCATCCTCATAGGAGAGAAGGATTCCAGCAAAATAAACCACTTTTCCGACCTTGATTTGATTATTCAAATTCAGGAGCAAAACTCTGCTGGGACAGTGCCTGGGATTTATCTCTCTTTGCCAAATACCTGATATGTAAATCTCTGCACTCACGCTTCTCCACATCCCCCACCCATGGATTGAACCCACCATCACAGAGCCCAGCTCACCCTCTGGAGAAGAAGAAGAAGTTCATCAGCCTCGTGATGATGGGGGACAGCAAGCCCCCATCCTTGAGAACCTGGGGCAGAAAGAAAAAGTAAATGGCACCACTCCACCACTCTGTAGGGCACAGATGGATGAGTCTGGTGTGCTTTTCCCACAGGCTCACCTTCTGTATGAATCTGGGGTAGTACGTTTCAGGGAAAATTCCTGGAAGGATCACAGAGAACAGAATTGTAATGCTGTAACTGTGTTGTTCTGCATTTCCCAGTCTTTCCTTTCAGCAATCTTGGTGAAAACCTGAGCCAAAGGACCTCTAAAATCTGATCCTACCACACATCCCAGTGTGCTGGGCAAACCTTACCTCCATTGGACAAACAGAGGCTGTTGATCAGGATGCTGCCAGTTTTATTGTTCTCATACCTGGGAACAGAAGGGGAAATGGTGAAACACCCTCTGCAAGCTGGGGGGGCATCTCTAAGAAAGCCCTTCCAACCTAACGTCCTACGATTCTACGATCTCTAATGTCCCTTCCAACCCAACATCCCATGATTTGATGATCTTTAACATCCTTTCCAACCCAACATTCCACGATTCTACGATCTCTAACATCCTTTCCAACCCAACATTCCACGATTCTACAATCTCTAACATCCTTTCTAACCCAACATCCCACGATTCTACGATCTCTAACATCCTTTCCAACCCAACATCCCACAATTCTACGATCTCTAGCATCCTTTCCAACCCAACATCCCACAATTCTACGATCTCTAACATCCTTTCCAACTCAACATTCCACAATTCTACGATCTCTAACATCCTTTCCAACCCAATCTCCCATGATTCTACAATCTCTAACATCCTTTCCAACCCAACATCCCATGATTCTATGTTCTATAACATCCTTTCCAACCCAATCTCCCATGATTCTACAGCCTCTAAGGTCCTTCCAAAACAACCAGTTGATTCTATGACCATGGAACAGCCAGACCAGCAACCTGTGGAGCAGCTCCTGTGCAACCGTATCCCCATAATCGTGGGACAGGAGGTTTATCCTCTGGTGGTGGAGGCCGAGGTGACGGACCAGCCGCTCGACAATGCTGGCTTGCTCGAAGATGGAGTAGTGGTGGGGCCTCTGCCAAGTAAAGCAGAATAATTGTGAGAGCATGTGAACCCATAAACACTCCAAAATAAAGACCCTGATGGAGGAGTTGGGAGCTCGGGGCAGTGTTCTGTGATCCATCTCAAAGCAGTTAGGATGTCCCCATAAACATTCTCCATGTGCCCTAAAGGACCTCACACCCAAGGAAGGACGACGTACTGACTCAACCCATCTCCACTATGAGCCTTATTTATCCCTTCTGCTATTAGAATGTCTCATTCTTTTTTCATAACAGGGGAAGAAATTGGGATCTGAAGCCCAAATGAACACCAATTCCCAAACCCATAATAGTTCCTCTTTCCAGGCTACTTACAGGCTTGTCACTGAACCCAAACCCTACAAAATCCAGAGCAATCACCCGGTGAAAGCGTTGAGTCAGTCCTTCCCATATCTGCGAGGAAGAAAAAAATGTAGGAAAATAGAAGTTTTGCCACAAGGGAGGAATCCCAGCGAGGTGTCCCCATGTTCTCACCTTGCTCCAGTCATAGCTGGAGGTTGGGAAGCCATGCAGGAGGATGACAACGTCGGAACTGCCCACAGCACCAGTGGAATCTATGGAGGGAATGGAAGGACCTCAAGATGTGGCACCACCAAAACAAAAGGATTTTAGCCCAAATATCTCCCGCAACCCAATTTCCTGGTGGTCATGGGGTGTCCTCACCTCTGTAGAAGATGCTTTGGTGTTTGTAGGTGAAGAAAGCTCCAGAGGCCTTCCAGGAGAGCAGTGCTGGGGAGAGCCGTGGGGGTGGGATGTGTAGGTACACGGCCAGGAGTGGGACGCTGAGCAGCCCCACCTGCACCCACCACTCCTTCATCCTGCAGGAGGTGAGATAGCTTGTCCCTATAACTTCATTCCCATCGATGTCTGTCCACCCCATATCCCCCCATCCCTATAACCACATGTCCCCATAACCTCACATCTCCATAACCACCCCCAATGTCTCCATAACCTCACATCCCCATAACCTCCCCCAAAGTCCCCATAACCATCCCCCATGTCCTCGTTCCCATTCCCCATAATGCTCCCCCATCTCCATTCCCCAAGTCCCCATAACCATACCCCATAACCATTTCCGTGTCCATACAGCCCACCCATTCCCATAACCCACCCCCAATCCCAATAAAGCCCATAACCCTCCCTACGTCCCCATAACCCTTTCCATTCCCATAAACCATCCCTCATTCCTACAACCACCCCCTTGTTCTCCTAACTTCTCTATGTCCCCATAACCTCACTTACAACCTCACTCCCATAAATACCTGTTCCCTCCCCATAACCCTCCCAATATCCCCATAACCCTTCCCATGCCCATGCCCCTATAACCATTCCCTATGCTCTCAAAGCATACCTATATCCCTATAACACCCTGTGTCCCCATAACCTTTCCCATATCCCCACAACACCCAACTCATAATCCTCCCCGTGGCTCTATAACCCACCCTGTGACCCCATGACCCTCCCTGTGTCCCCATAACCTCCCCACAGCCCCCACGACCCCCTCTACATCCCCATAACCCTCCCCACGTCCACGCACACCTCACCCCCCTCTAAGCTCCACCCCTTCACCACTAAGCCCCGCCTCCTTCCACGAGCAAGCCACGCCCCCTTCCCCAACACGCTCCGGTTAGACCACGCCCCCATCCCTCTAGCCACGCCCCCTCCCCACTCGCTCCATTCTCCTGACTGGCGGAGGCCACGCCCCTGGCGGCGGTGGGCGTGGCCTCAGGCCAGGCGCTCCCTCACCCGCTTTCAGGTGCGCGGCTCCCGCGCCGCCATTCCATCTCGTGGGCAGGGCCTCCTGCGCATGCGCACGCCTCTCAGTCTGGCCACGCCCTCCTCGCTCCCGGCGTCTCCCCGTTGCCCGGCAACGGCAGAACGCCGTCAGTTCGCCGAACGTTGCTACGCCGCTTCTGATTGGCTGAAGGGGCAACGGGCGGCCAATCGGGGCGGGGATTGTTGCGTGGTGGGGGCAGACGGAGCCGGACGGCGGGAGGCGGCGGAGCGTGTGAAGCGTTGTGAGACGATGTCGAGCAGGAGGAGCGTCGGTGACCCGGAGGTGGGCGGGGAGGGGGGTGGTAGGGGCAAGGGAGGAACGTTGGGGGGGAAGCCCTGAGGTATAAGGGGTTGGGGTCCCAGAGGGGGAGGCCTTGGAGTGAAGGCCCTGAGGGTAAAAGGGTTGGGGGGGCCTTGAGGTGAACAGTGGGGGGGGGCTCTGAGGAGAGGAGGCGAGAGGAGAGGGGGGAGAGGAGAAAGGAGGGGGGGAGAGGGTCTGTGTGGGGAGTAATTAGGATTTGGGGGTTTGCTGTGGGGGTTATGGGGCAGAGAGGGGTGGAGTTGGGTTTGTGAGCCCTTTTGGTGCGTTGGTGCAGAGCTGATGGTTCGTGAGCCTGGCTTGCTGGCAATCAGAGGGTGTTGCGGGGCTGTTCTCTGCTCTTTGTGCTCATAGGGCCGTCCCCGTGTCCCATCGTTTCCCCTTTCCTGCGTTGATTCCTCCCTTCTCATCCCACAGTACTTAACCAGGCGCATCCCTCAGAACCCCCGGTACCAACACATCAAAACCCGCCTCGACACCGGTGAGTGACACCATCAGAGGGCTTAAAAACTGCCCAGTAGAGAGGAGGGGAATAACAGATGCTGAGCATCTCGGCTGCTTCACCCCAATCCTCTGCATCAGTGCCAGAGCTTATGTTGTAATTTGGATCCTTGTGATAGTTGCCTTATTATTCATGTCAGGTTCTGATGTCAGGTTCTGATCTGTGCACTCCCATAGAAGTTACTGAGCTTGGAGTTGCTATGCGTTGGCCTTTCTTCTATAAGTTAATATATGACAAAGATATAATTCACAGTAATTATTTGCTCAAAAGCTTTTGAGCTTTTTGTACAGTTAAAGTGATTGGATTTTACCTCTTGACAGTGGTACACCCAAGGCAATGTTGGGAAAAGGACAGCGTAACCACAGCTGCTCTTGGGGCTGTAAATCAGAGGTGGGATTTGGGGCCATAGATCAGAAGTGGGATTTGGGTGCCAACACTGATTTCAGCTCTCTGATTGCAAAGGCTGAACGTTCAGACTCGTGTACAGAGCTGCAGGTGATGGCCTCCTGAAGGCAATGATGTTGTCCTCTGAAATCTCGACAGAACTTCTTTCTAGCAGAGAGGGATTGGTGTGGAGGTTGTATTTGGTGCCCCGTGCTGAAAATCCCATAAAATAAAGCAGTTGGCTGCATTCTGTAGAGGGATTTCCTTAGTACTGTGATTTGAGCTCTTTCAGTTGTGAGTGCACACCAAAGGTTTGAGTTCTTTCAGTTGTGATTATTCCCTGTGAGTTCCTGCATCCCATACAGGGGCTTTCACCCTGCCTGTAGGTGCAGCAAAGCTTCAGAGTGGCCATCTCTTCCTTCTTAAAGTTATTTAAGCCTTATTAGCCGTGATGAAAAGCGCTGATTTGTAACAAGCTGTTTGGTTGCTGTTGTTACAGGGTGCAGTCTGACAAAATACATTGAGAAGTTGGAGGAAATCAAAAGAAGTGAGTACCTGGAGGGGAGGCAGGATGTAACTGTGTGGGTTTGTTCCAAACTGAAGGAGCTCTGAGCAGCAGTGCTGAATCCTGAGCCCTCTGCTTGCTCAGAGATCTCCTCTCTGACAGTGCCCACAGGAAGAGACTCCATCAACACACACCAGCAGCTTAAAGAAATGCCATAGTTTTCCTACTTTGCTTCTCTCGTGAGCACCTTCCACTTTTTCATGCCACTTGACTGCTTTTTTGGGGCTATAGTTGGTGATTTGGTTGGATCTAACAGCTCTGAGGCTTTGGGCTGTTGGAAGCACAGCTGATCCCATCCTTTGCTCTGTGCTCCCACCGAAAAGGAGCTTGTTAAAATTCATGCTGATAAAGCTGAGCTTTTCCTGCTTTATTTCCAGCCATTGTCAGCACTATTTTCATGCAGAGCCAGCAAAGCTATTAAACCCCTGAGCTGCGTTTACCGGTGTGAAAGAAAAATCCCCACAATTAAAGAGGATTAATTAGGATTTTCAATCTTCAGTCTTCGTTCTTAGTGCAGCACAGTGAGATGGCAGTGCTCAGTGTGTAAGGCAGGTCACTAATGTAGCACGTAAACGTGTTTGTGTTTGGCTTCATGCAAAAAGACCCTTTGTGGCTGTTTGTTTGCAACGCACCACAGATCTTCTGGGAAAGCAAAGAGAGAAACACCCTTATTTTCCAAAATCCTGTGTTGACAGACTAAGATTTCAGTCCCAAACACTGCGCTGCCATCACTTTTTTTTTTTTATCAGCTCTGAGAATCTTGTTGTGTCAGTGTTTTTGGTTTTCAATCTCTCCTGTGAATCTGATTTCTCCTTGGGTAGAAATCCCTTTGTTTCTGGTCCTGGGCTCCAGCAGGAACTTTCCCATTGTGTTGACACTGAATGGGCACCTTGTGTTCCCAGGCAGTTCAGAAACTCCTCTCCCTTGATTTCTCATGGATAGATGACACCGTTTGGGTTCAACTCTGAATACGTAGCACAGCGAGCTCTCTGTCTCTGTGTAATGTGAGAGAGTGGGGCTTTATACCCTGAGCCTGCAGTGGAATCAAAAATAAGATAGCTGGGAGCATGATCATTATCCTTTGGAGCAGCGACTTGAGGAGAGACTCCACGTCCCTTCCCTTCTCTGTGCTCCAGCACTGGAGGAACTTTCCATATCCCACAGAGCGTTTGCATCCTGAAGCACAATGTCAGAAAATCCAAACGGAGCTCCCAGGGCAGAACCAGGTATGTAGCATTGCTTTTGTGGGCAGGAGCAGCTCTTCTTCTGCACTCTTTGGTGATGGTTGAGGTCCTTCTTTAGGCGTTCAGCTGTTTGTTCCAGGTCAGGCTTAGTGCTGGCAACTGTTGGGTGCTAAAGAGTTGGGCTATAAAAGCTTATTCTGGGGTAAAGATTCCTTAACTGAGACTGGCAGAAAGCATCCAGTTTTGCACAGTGGTTGCAATTAAAGCACTGCTGTCACATGCATGTGTTTACACTGTAAGTTTTGCTGCTTTTAGTTCTCTTTCTAAATCAAAATCACTTCTTGTTCTTCTCATGACCAGGGTTTTGTGCTGGGCAGGTGCTGTCTGAGAGAGAATCACTGCTGTTGTCTCAAAGTTACAGAGCTGATGCTTGAAACCAAGGAATCCTACACGAGCTCTGAGCATCGCTTTCAGCTCTTTGACTTTCTGAAACCTGTTGGTTTCTGTTTGCTGGCAATGAATCAGCCTGCTTCTGGAGGAATGGGATGGGAATCTCATACAGAGTGTTCCCATAAGGGAAGCATTGCAGTTGTTCCTCATACAGCAGTTACAGGGATGAGGATTGGAGCCCTCCTCCCCCGTCTCCCTGCTGCTTATTGAGGGAAGTTCAGCAGATGGTGGGATTTAGAGCTGCTTAACTGGATTGGATGAAGGTTCTGTGCTGCATTATTAGCTCCTTTTACTCAGAGTGAGGCCAGCCAGGTGTATCCCCCAACAGTTATTGAAGATACTGAAAAAAATGCAAAGGATTTTACTTATTTCCAAATGGAAATCTGTGATGTGAAGGGTAGAGCCTCATAAGCAAGGAAGAAGGGAAAGAAAGAGCACTCAAAGCACTCAGGCTTCCATCCCTATCATCACTGAGCTCCATCATCTCTGCTCTGCTTGCTTGCCAGTTGTTCCAATGGGGTTTTCTCATCCTCTAAGCTTTGTCTTCAGGCTTAAGATTTAATTAGTCCCATCTCTTTGCAGCAATTATGTCTGCTTTAAGCTGGCATCTGCAGCAGTCTGTTCCGTTTCCTGCCTTAAACCCCTTGTGTTGGTTGTTCATTTTGTGTTAAATTCCAGTTCCTGTGATTTATTGTCAGCATGAGAAAACCTGGAGTGTCTTAAACAGTCAGATTGAACATAGATATTTAATATTAGAGCTTAGTGTTTCCCAAAAAGCTTAGAGCATGGGTGTATCTCAGCCTCATTCTGCAAGGATCTGCAAAGTAACTGAGGCGATGCCTTCCCCCTGTTATGTGCAAGAGCTGAAAATTGGTTTGAGATGTGTTGACCCTCTTCTGTTTTGTTTTTAAAGATTACAGGTACAGAAAGGATGAGCTCTTTAAAAGACTGAAAGTGACTACTTTTGCCCAATTGGTAAGTATGGATCTTCTCTCTCTCTTGCTCATTGTCCTTGCTTTACCCAAAGCCTTCCCTGTGGTTACATAGCCTCAGACAACAGATAATTCTTTTCTAATGGGGCTCTTCTACAGTTCTTTTCCTGCTTTGTCCTGAAGCAGAGTATTCTTCCTTTTTGTTACGACCTTTAATAAATGGCTCTAGCACTGCAAGTCTCTCTCAAACATACATCTATATTTGACCCCTAAGCCCAGTGGAAAGTATGCTGGGTTAAAGATACGTTGGCTTGAGGATTATTTTTCCTTAAGGTGATCCCTTCTGTCTTTCACTGATAGCTGTGTATGTGTATCAAGGCTTTGTGGCTTGCTTTTGTTCCCTGCAGGTCGTTCAGGTTGCTTCTCTGTCTGATGAAACCTTAGAAGTGACGAATGAGGAGATCCACAAGCTGGAAGGTAACAATATTTATTGTGAGCACAAAGAAATGGAGCTGTAGATTGCTGTCACACCTTGAACTGTGCCCTGGCAGGCATAGCAAGCCCTTTTATTAGGGGGGAAATAACCCCATCTGCAGCCATTCTGCTCTGGGTTGCATAACTCCTAAAGCAGAAATGCTCTCAAGAAGGAAAGTCATCACACTGAGAAGTTTTGGTGCAGTAAGTCAATATATAATGTACAGCAAGAATGAGATGAGCTGTTAAATTTCTGCTCAATTCCTAAAAAGGAGATCTTCAGCTCTCAGAAATCATGTGGCTCTTTCTCCTTTTTGACATAGGGCTCTCAGTAAGTCATCCTTGTAAGAGAATGAGGACGGAGCTGTTGCTGAGATGCACTTCCTTTCATAAAATAGAGCCTGGGCTCAAAACCTGCTCGTCCATTTCCTGCAACACTTTAATCTTTCTGCCCTGCTCTCTCCTCAGATGGCAATTCTGCTGCTTCAGATGCAGATGCTGAGCTCACAGCGGGGACAAATGGCAAAGAGAGCCCCAATGGGACACCCCCCAGTCCTGTCCTGTTCATAAACAACACCGGAGCTGGAGAATCGTATCGCTCCACGCTGCAGAGGTGCCTGATAACAACACAAAACCAACCTTTTTTCATGGCAGATAACTGTTTTCTTACCAGCTGTTAAGACATAAATGAACTATTGGGAAAACTGGGAGGGGAAAAAAGCACCTTCTCATGGTTAAGAGGTACAGAAGTGTTCAGAAGGAGCACCTACACCATAACGTCTGCTTTCCTCTTACAGTTTGATCAGTGGTGTCGGTGAGTTGGATATAGAAAAGGACACTCATAAGAAAGCAGACCCCCAGGCAAAGGATACTCCTTATCCTGACTGCCCCTTCCTGCTGTTAGATGTACGAGACCGCGATGCTTACGACCAGTGTCACATAATTGGAGGTGAGGAGCCCTGCCTGCTGTCAGCTGAAGGCTTGTGTGTTGTTCTGGTGGGCTTTGCTTGGATGCTCTCTGCACTCCTTCACACATCCATCCTCCCTGGAAAGGGATGAGGGAATGGGGCTGATATTAATCCCTAATTCACTGAGTTTCCAATCTGTTTTCCGTATCTATTCCTACAACCCTGTGTCAGCTGTGTTGCAGATTGTGATGTTGGTTTCAGCCACAGTCTGATTTCTTTTTTCTTTTTTCTTTTTTTTCTTCCTCTGCAGCTTATTCTTATCCTATTACAATGCTGTCTAGAGCCATGAATCCATACACAAACAGTATTCTGGAATATGTATCCTTTATATATGTAGTGTGGAATCAACAGCAATGAGAAAAACCAACTGGTAACATGTTGGCAAGGGCTTCCAAAACCAATTCCAAACCCAGTTCTTCTGACCAGGACGGTGTTTAACCACCAAAATCCTGGGATTCCAAGGAGGATGGGAGGAAAACTCCTTTCTGCAGGCTTTGATTACCTGGTGGGGCTCTGCTGCAGTCATCAGACGCTGAGTTTTAGTTCCTTAGAGCTTAGAAACTTCTTGGTTTCAGTGGGAGCTGTCTGAATTTGGTGTTTCCTGGGATTGGACTTGCCTTCAAGCAGTCACAGTTGTATCCCTTGGGCAGCTGTCTCTCGCTGTTGCTCGATCACTGGGCTTCAAATCAAATCCTTTGGCTTCCTCCCAGCACCTTGATGAGGATTGTCTTTTCTCAGGAGGACAAAAAGAGGATTATTAGCTGGGATTAGGCTGATCATTTCCCAAGTTATTAGTGTGGGAGGGCTGCAGGGGAGAGGGGAGGTTGTCAACAAATTGTTTCTGACTGGTTGTTGCTAACCAATCTTCAGATCAGTGGTGAAATATATGCTCACAGAGGGGATCAGGCTGTGCACTTCCAGTGCTTGCTTCAGCTGCTGAGAAATCATTTTGAAACACTGAGGGGAAGGCTTTCCTACCCAATAGCTGGAAATCACACAGGGAGTCTATCTCCAGCTTCATTCTGAAACGTATTAGGTCTCAATCAACAGTTGGACTGGATGATCTTGGAGGTCTCTTCTAACCTTGGTCTATGATTCTATGGCTTTAAGTCACCTCAAATTGACAAATACACCCTTAGCTCTTCCACCCATCAGAAAAATGCCCATGGAAAGATTATAATTTTGTACGACGACGATGAACGGCTCGCAAGCCAGGCTGCCACCACCATGTGTGAGAGGGGCTTTGAGAACTTGTTCATGTTGTCTGGAGGTCAGTAGGGATGGGCAGGACAGTGGGGGGAGTGGGTTCAGTAGGACCCAAGTGGGCTCAGTGGGTTTTGTGTGAGCTGGAGGTGGGGAAAAAGATGGTCAGATCCATCATGTGATGGTGAAATCACTGCTCCCACATTGGATGGTGGTCATTAATAACACGTGGTCTGTACATCTCCAGGGCTGAAGGTGCTTGCACAGAAGGTCCCAGAAGGACTCATCACTGGCTCACTCCCCGTGTCCTGCCAGGTGGCAGCTCCCACAGGATCTGCCCGAAAAAAGGCTGTTCCCAAAGTGCCACCCACACGTGCTGAGAGCAAATGGAGGTACTCAGCAGAAGATCTGCAGAAGATTAAGTACTACCTCGAAGAGGAGCAGCTTCCTTCAGACACTGCCAGTAAGAATCCGAGACAGATGCCACGCAGCATTCTCCTGCTTTGCTGTATTCTTGCAGTGAGATGGCTGGGAAAGGGGAGAGGTTTATTTCCAAACTGTGCTGTTCCCAAAGAACTGAAATCTTGTATGGCTGCACGATCCTGGTTCTGCTGGGGCAGACATGCACCGTGCTGCCCATTGTGTTTGAATGCCTTTAGGTTTTCTTGGTGGTGAGCTGATTTTGCAAGTTCATAAGCTGTGCAGAACAGAAAAAAAAAAAAGTCTGATTGAAACTGTCCCGGAATTACTGAAGAGTCTATAAGATTAGAGTTAGGACAGTAACAAGGTGCAGCAAACCATTGGTATGTCATCATTCTCCATCCTAAGCTTCAGCTTGTGTTTCCAATCTTTTTCCTTCAGGTCGCCTCAGCCGTGGCTCTTCGGGACGTGATTCCAAAGCAACAACAGCATGGAGCAGCCCCAGCCTCCCCAGCATGGCAGGATCCCGCATGCTCAGCAGGAGCAGCTTCCAAAACAGGCCGTGGAAATAAGCAGCCGTCTCTCCTTCCACTGAATAAATGAGAGTCCAGGTTCTGGGAACCCTGAACAGTGCAGCCCTGTTTGTCATTTTAGGAATCCGCTGAGGAAAGCGGTGGTGATGTATAAATGGCAGCTTGGGTGAGGCTGGGGAGATGGAAGGGTTGATGTGATGTCTTGTAGGAGCAGTGTCACGTTGGCAAAGTGACCTTCAGGACAGGTATTTGTAGGGGAGGGGGGAAAACTGGTAGTGAAGCCTTGTGACCAAGTAGCAACGGATCTGTAAGACCTGCAGTTCAGACTAAGGAATTGTGTCTATAGCAAACGTTCCTCTGTGCTGGGCTCAAAGCTGCAGGCTGTGTTAACAGTGAAAGGAAACGGGTCAGAAAATTGTGAGCAGAAACCATGGTGTTTTGTGGCAGGGATGGACATTCAGCAAATTGCCAAAATGGTGGAGAGAGGATTCCGTAACTCTCTTTTTTTTTTAATTTATTAAGTGTTTCTAATAAAGATGTTTTGGGAAATAACGACCAGTGTGATGCACTAGCGTGATAGTTGTCCTTAATTATGGATGATTTATGAAATGGCTCTGTTTTCCTGAAGGTGAGTCAGAGGGATTGAAGTTTATTCCTATGTATACCCTTCCCAACGTGTTTTGGAGTAGTTTGTTTAAGATTAGGGTGGCTGAAGGGGATATCTTCTTCTCTCCTTTCATCAGAGTCCTGAAAATAACCCTAAAAATGAATCTGGTAACTGAACAGGATGTGGAGATTTCATGAAAGCTTTCCTCTCATCAGTGCTTGCACTGGCTGGAGTATCTGAGATACTCTGAAACTCATCAATGACAAAACAGATGCAGGGTGTGGAAATTACAACCAGCTTTATTTATGTTGTATCCCTGTGAAAGAAAGGAAGAGATACAATGAGCAGCTTTTGTGCCTCTGGGCTGCTCTGTTCAGTCACTGGTTGTAGTATCAAATATGGGAGGAGGACCACCAAACTTAGCAATGGGTCTTACATCAGAAAAGCTCACTATTTCTGCAGCCAGGAACTGGAAAGCTAATTCTGATCACCTCATGGCCTGCACCTCCAGAGGGAGCATGTAAGTATGTACTGAAGTGTGTAGTGCAAGGCTTGGTCAGGTATTGACACACAAATAAAAAGTACAGCAGGGCTGTGTCTTATTTCTATCCATCTGTAGGAAGATGAAAAGTGGGATATCCACTTTGGATACGTCATGGAAATGAACATTGGGGTATGATGGGGCTGACACCCATGCGTATTTCAATCTCCATGTCCTGAGCTGTCTGCCTCTTTCTGTTCTGTATTGTACCTCCACTTCCATGTCCCTGTGAAATAAAAGTATTGAACCAACTGCCATCTCCAGCTCGCTTCAGATGGTGGCTTGCCTAGGTTGGTTGGTTGGTATTATTTCTGGGGCAATAACAACTGAAGCTGAGTGTGAACATGAGAGCACCAGGAGATTATTTATGTTCCTCCTGATCCAGCAGTGTGGGGGTAAAGGAATTCTTTCACCCTATTGAGCACAAGGAGGTGATGGTGTTACAGATGCATCCAGCTGAAAATGATGGGAGTCAGAGTTGTGTGTGCTGCCTTAAATCAAATCCTTTTGTTTTCCAGTGGTTGGGAAAGGAGCTGAAAACCCAACTGCTTTGATCTGCATGAAAACCTTCCAAAATGGGGGGACAAAACTGTTTGTGCTGTTTAAGATCCTTCAAATCCAGGGCAACAAATGCACTCTCCAGTCGCCTTATCATCTTGATGAGTTCCTGTGGGTGGTTGGGTGTTTTGTTTTGTTTTGGACTTTTGACTTGGTACTGTTTGGAAAAAAGGAATAAACTCTATATAGTGTGGAAGTTTCAATAGGTCAACACACTCCATGTTGGCTATCAACTGGACCACCGAATGTCCAAAAAAATTTTTTGTTGTGTTTGGAAGAAGGGAAACACCTCCCAAACCATCCTTTTTTTTAATTTTTTTTTTTCTCATTTATTTATTGCATTCTTCTCCCCAGTCAACTCAACCACCATTCAACTCCAGATCCTGCTCAGTAGAGGTGACCCCGTGTATGTGCCATGATGACCTCCAGAGCTTTCCATGTCTCCTGGGCAGTGGGGACAATCTGGCTGGCAGGCAGCAGGAACCCATAGCGTCCTGTGTCCCGGAGCTCAAAGGTGAAGGAATATTTAATGCCTTGATTGTAGGTCCAGTCGATGGTTCCTCCACTTGCTTGATCTTGGTGAGGAAAGAGCAGAACTTTGCTCGCTCTGTGTCTCATGATTGTTTCATGGTAGGACATGAGGAGGAGTGATTTTGGTTTCACTGGGACAACAATTACTTACAGATGGTGGTGATGATGCTACCATACTTGTAATTCGTGCCATACAGAGAAGACAGAGCTGCCACAGCTTCCTTTGCAACCTGGTGCTGGGGGGAAGACACAGAAAGGTGAGTTGGGAAAGGGGAAAGTCTATGGTAGAATAGGGGGAAAAGAAAAAAAAAAAAAGGCTTTTACACTCATCCTACTGCCAAAAAACAATGGCAAAACTCAATAGTGTTGGCCTCAAGGAGTCCCCATGGGGGGGTGGGGTCTTCTTTCCTGCTTGCATGGGGTGTAGTGTGGGTATTTCACACTGTCCCCTAAAATAGGCCCTACCAGTTCTTCCTTGTCAGGCACGGCAGTGGTGGTGTAGCCGTAGGGGTAGAGCAGAAGCTGGGAGTAGCTGTGGATGGAGATGAAAGCTTTGATGTTCCCATGGCTCTTCACAAAGTCCACGATGGCTTGCACCTCTGGCTCTGAGTTGGCGTAGGGCCCACGGTACGTCTCCGAGCAGGGGTTGCTGCTGGCCCCAGAGCCTGGGGTGAAGAGAATGGTGAAAATATAGCATTTGTTGGCACCTGGGTGGCTCAGAGGTCAAGGAGGAATGCTTCTGGGGCTCCACACAAACATTGTGTGATGGTTTCCAATTGTGGTCCCTACCATATTGGTCACTAGGGGACACCAAAGACCTCATGGGACCAAAACCCACATCTTGGCCCCAAAGTCCATCCCTTCCTTGAGAACACAAAAGACCTGATGGAACCCAAGCTCATGCCTTGACCCCAAAGCCCATCTCTTTCCTGATGACACAAAAGACCTGATGGAATGCAAACCTATGCCTTGAACCCAAAGCCCATCCCTTTCTTGGGGCCACCAGTGGCTCTCTCTGAGCCAGAAACATCATCAGAGCCTTCACCTAGAGGGCAGAACACAATCTGTCAGATGAAAGGGAGAGTTCTGACCTCCAAATCCTGCGTCCCAGTTGCGGTTGGGGTCAACACCAACGCAGAGAGCTCCAGAATGCTTGGACCTGGTCTTGCGCCACATACGATTCTAGAAGGGCAGAACCAACTCAACCAGAATCCAGGGCTGGAGCATCTCCAGCCTCAAGCAGAGAAGCAAAAGCATCTTGGCGGACACGGATGGATCATGGATGTCCCCCTTTTTAACTGAAGGACATGTGGATAGAGAGGCTTTGAGCTCTCAGGAGCTGTGTGATGCCCACGTCCAGCTCCCCAGCTCCAAACAACAGCAGATGAGATGAATGCCAGCACCGTACCGAGGTGTGGGTGAAGACAAAGCCATCAGGGTTGGTGACAATTTCCAGGAAGATGTCCATCTGGTCCAGGATGTTGGCCAGACCTTCATTTTGTTCTTGGACAATCTAGAGAAGATGGTGATTTGGGACTGGCTGGAGCACCATTGGGATGATCACAGCATGTATAAGGGGTCTACAGAACCTTGCAGCCTTTTGGAGATGTAAGATCTGCCCATACCTTCTTGGCAAACCAAACGCCGCTTGCTTGTGTCACCCATTCACGGGAGTGGATGCCAGTGTCAATCCAAATGGCCGGGCGATTCGTGCCACCTTTGCTGAACTGGAATTGCAAAAATGGGGCAACTGGGACCGCATGAGAACCAACTCATGAACCTGATCACCTCAAAGGCCCCAAATCCCATACCTTCAAAACATAGATGGGGCGGTTCTCTGTTGTATGGCCAATCTCCAGCTTGCTGACAAGGTTTGGGTTTTCAGCCACCAGTAGGTCCATGAAGGCGTAGATCTGGGTTTGGGAGAGGGATGTAGGGGATTGTGAATGTGTAGATGAATTAGTAGGTGTGGTTTTTGGGGACATAGTTTAGTGGGCACTATTGGTGTTAGGTGGATGGTTGGACTTGGTGATCTGACAGGTCTTTTCCCACCTTAACAGTTCTATGATTTTATTTAAGGACATGATTTAGTGGGCATGGTGCTGATTGATTGACGGTTGGACTTGATGATCTTAGATGTCTTTTCCAACCTTAATGAATCTATGATTCTATGAATGGCTCATTAATTCCTCTATTTAGAACAAACCCCTTTGCAAAATCAATTCCAAAATGTTTTTTTCCCCCGAAAATGCCTCAAATCTTGAGCTTCCCCCATGCAGAGTATCACCTCATCCAGGGTGTGATAGCTGGTGTAGTCAAAGGTACTGGTGGAGAATGGCATGAAACGGCGGCGACGAAGCATCTGCATCTGTTCAAGGTCCACCAGCGCCTGTGGGATATGGGGCAAGATGAAACCTCATCCCTCACCAACCCATGACTTCCACCCAGCACTCCCACCAGCACCACCGACCTGCACGTCCTCAATCATGATGGAGTAGGGGACACCGTTAGCCTCCAGGTGGGCTTTGAGGGGCTGCAGGCTGGGAAAGGGCACACGGATGTCAACCGGGTCCCCAAGGCCACGGGGTGAAAGCCAGAAATCCAGCTGGATTGGGGAGAAAATGGGATGAGGGTCAGATCCTGCCTTAGATTGTGCCTCTCCCTCCCCCTTCTGTCCTGTTTTTCTCTATGTAGCCCACTATGGGTTATCTTCTTCACCTCTATTACACCATGGGACATCATTCCTACCCCACCGTGGGACATCATCGTCTCCAGCAATCATTCCTCTACAAGATGTCATTCCTCGTACCCTACTATGGGACACCATCTCCTCTCAAGTCCACTAAGGACAATCATCCCCCCTTTATCCCACTACGGGACATCATACCCCTTATCTCACAATGGAACATTATCCCCCTCCCCATACTGCACTATGAAACATCATCACTCCTTTTCCCACCATGGGACATCATTCTCCCCATACCCCAACAATGAGACATCCCTGCTTTGCACCATAGCTCAGGGGTGCACATTAGAAGACTTGGAAGGGGTCCCTAAAAGCTCCCCCCACTCCCATCCCATACCTGGAGGTGCTCCAGCTCCTGCAGCTCCCGCACCTTCTGCAGCTCAGCATCACTGCTGGGGACAATGCGTAGCACCTGGTGCCTGTGGGGTCAGAGGGTGTTGTGGGGTCCACCACAGCCATCACCCCATCCATCCCACACACTTGCTGTCTTTGTCACACAGGGACTGAAACAGCTACTGTCCCCCATCTCAGTCAGCATCCCCATCTCAGTCAGCATCCCCATCCCAGCCAATGTCCCCAATAACCCGTTGTCACCATTCCAGTCAATATCCCCATCCCAGCCACCTCCACTGTCCAGATCCTCCTACCCGACAAAATTCTCAGTGGTGGCAGCAGCCACTGCCCCCAGGGCAGCCAGCAGCAGGAGTGCCCTCATTTCCAGCCGAATGAATATGTCCCAGGTCCTCACAGCACCTCGGGACATCTTAAATCCTGGTGATTTCCAGCCCGGCCCCCTCCACCTGCCCAAATTCCCAGGGCCATGGGAGGGCTCTGCTCTGGACGGTGTGGTCAAGGTTGAGTGAAACCTGTTCTGGGAGCTGGAAACCGGATGGAGCCGTCGGTGACTCAAGGGGGCAGGACATGGGAAGGTAACACCAGGTGCTGGATCCCAAATCCCACCGCCCACAGAGGAGGAGAAAAAGGGTAATGTTGGGCTGAGCAAGCTGCAAGGTGTTGGTTTTCTCATGATTCAACAAACAGTGTTTGCTTGGGGGGTGGGAATTGGATGAAAGTTTAGCACAGGTGCAGGTTGTCTCAGCTGGGAAAAATAATACAGTAAATTCTTAGAAGCCCTTGGCACACAAAGATATCCCCCTTTTGTCCCCAGAGGTGTCCCTGTGCCTACCCAAAGCAAAGGGAAGGGACACTGGAGCTGCCCCAAAAGCAATAAATTTGGGGTAAGCCATCCATCCACACTCTGCAATGTCCTTTGGGGACAGGCAGAGAGCAGGGATGGGAATGTGTAAGACCAAAACAAAAATGGGAGAATAAAAACAGATTTTTTTCCTCCCTTTCCCCCACCATATAGTCTGGTTTTTAGGTGGTTCTATGTGAAGCCAGAAGTTGGACTCTATAATCTTTATGGATCATTTCCAACTCAGGACATTCTGTGATTCATTGGACTCAGTGATCTTTATAGGTCCTTTCCAACATGGGATATTCTATGAGTTTTTGAAGCACTACCATGAAAAACCAAAGATCTAGGCTTAAACCACATAAAATGTATGGGATTTTTTTATTGAGTTGTATGTTGGGGTAGGACCAGTAGGGTTCATCTCCCTCTTTACACCAGTGGGCTCAGTATGGGTGCTGCTGGATGTGGACCAAGATGTCCAGCAGTGCCGGCCATGTCTCGGTGGCAGTGGGGATGATCTGACTGCTGGGCAAGAGGAAACCATAGCGCCCTGTATCCCTCAGCTCAAAGGTATAGGAATATTTCACCCCGTTCTCATAAGCCCAGTCAACGGTGGTGCCAGCTGCCAGGTCTGTAAGGAGAGGAAGGAAGATGTGACCCCAGCACTGAGCGCTGGCCATGCTGTAGGGTTGGTCAAGATGTTTTGGGGTAGGGATGCTATGCTTACAGATGGTGTCTGCAATGCTGCCGTAGGTGTATTCTGTCCCGTACACCGCTGCCAGGTCGTTCACTGCCTTTTTAGCCAACTCGTTCTGTAAAGGAGAAGCCCAGAACAGTGAGATCCAGCAGACTCAACATCTTCCCAAGGCAGTAGAGACCTCAGGACACCAGGACCATCATCTTTTCCTACCCCTCTGCTCTTGCTTTTCTTTAAAACACCCTTAATTTTTGTCAGAAAGAGGCACATCTTTTGGGGAGGTGTATCTCTCCCCAAAAGACCTGGAAGATGGTGGATTCAACACGCATGGTTGAATCTAACAGGAGGAACATTGGGGTCCCAGCATAGTCTGACCTGACTTTTCATAGGATCATAGAATCATCAAGATTGATGAGACCACTATTCCAACAATTTCCCCCCAAAGCTGGTGGTTGCAGCCCCATAGGCATTTTTTGGGGCCATCTCACCAGTTCCTCATGATCAGGTGCAGGTGTCCTCTTGTAGCCATAGGGGAACATCAACATCTGGGAGTAGCTGTGAATGGAGACGAGTCCTTTCACATTCCCGTGGCTTTGGATGAAGTCCACAATAGATTTCACTTCGCTTTCAGAGTGGGCATAGGGACCGTGGTAGGTTTCAGAGCAGGGGTTGCTGCTGGAACCAGCATCTGGGGCATGATGGAGGAGAAACCATGCAATGAGGTGCACTGGAAAGGTTTCAACCCGGGGTTTCTCCCCAGCAGCAAGAAGGTTCAAGGCTTTGATGTGAGTGATACCTCACCTCCAAAGCCCGCGTCCCAATTTCGGTTGGGGTCCACACCAATGCAGGATGAGCCAGCATTGATAGACCTCGTTTTTCTCCACAGGCGGTTCTATGTGAGACAACAGGTGCATGAAGTCAACTCCATATGCCATCCAAAAAAAATGCTGCTGGACATAATGGCTGGAACCAACCATTGGGATATGTAACCCCAAAGAATCCCCACACTCACAGAGCTATGGGTGAAGGCGAAGCCATCGGGGTTGGTAACAATCTCAAAGAAGATGTCCATGGTGTCCAGAAGGGAGGTGACAGTGGGGTCATGGCCATAATCTTCAGCAAGCTATATTGGGAGGGGAGAGGGAGCTGTCTCAGTGTCCCAGGAACAAGGGACTGTAGAACTGGAGAGGCTGTAGCATTTTTTATTCCCAATTGGATTCAACCACACATCCATGGAGGTGGTTTGGTTTTGCAACTTTTACCCTTCACCCAAACCTTCATGGACAGTCCCCACTCTGCTTACAATCCCAACCTGACTTCAACCTACAACCCCAAGAATATCGCCCTTACTTCAAAGACCTGTTCATCCCTTTTTTTTTCCTTCTCTCTCCCTTCCATGTCCTTCACATGCATGTGTTTGGGATGAGGTTGGTGCCATTGTCTGGACTTTATTTAAGAAACTGGGATTGATTCTTGGATTGTGAGCCCAGGAACGGCCCCAGCTGATGCCCAACCTTATTGCCATGGATAGATGCAATGATGGTGGGCTATCTCATGCCAGTGAGATTTGGGTGATGTCACGTTCACTCACAGACACTCCCAACCCACTTGGATGGTGATGTCCGTGTTATGAGATTACCTTGTTGGCTGTCCACACGCCGGTAGCTTGGGTGACCCATTCACGTGAGTGGATGCCAGTGTCCAGCCAGACTGCTGGCCGATTTGATCCCCCAGTGCTGAACTGTGCAGAGAATGGAATGTCAGCCCTCTGGCTCCCAGAATGGCAAAAGGATTGGGGTAGGAGGCAACTCTGGTCCATCTGATCTGTGCCCAACCCCAGATCCAGGTGGGTTTGGGGAACTCCAAGGAGAAGACCCATAGTGCTCCAGCACCTGGTCGGAATGAAAAGAGGTTGGCCCTGTACCCACCTTCAGCACATAGAGGGGTCTTTTCTCATAGCTTTCACCAATCTGGATCTTGCTAACGAGGTTGGGGTGATCTGCCACAAGGGTGTCCATCCAGTCATAGATCTGAAAGGAGGAGGTGCTGGGATGTGTAACTTGTCCTAGCTTTACCTTTGGGTATTAGGATGTCTGGCACCAGATACAGCATGCAGAGCTTCTCCAGACACAGCCATGCTTTGGGTTCCACAAACGCGAAACAAACTATACAGAGCAAAGTACCTCTTCTAGAGTGTGATAGGATGCGAAATTGAACTTGTTGGCACTTCTCTCCATCCGCCTGGACAGCATCATGGTTCTCTTTTCCTCATCCAGTAAGTGCTGTTAGAGAGAAAGTTTTCAGGGAGAAATATCCAACCCAGCCCCAACGCAGTCTGTCTCTTACCTCCAAAACCCACTATCTCCACCCCATGTGTAGGTTTTGCAAAGCATTTTCCACCATTGCCTTCTATTTCCCTCATTTCCACCACCCATTGGGGCTGCCGTACCTGCACATCCTCGATCATGACGCTGTAGGAAATGCCATGGGATTCCAGGAAGACTTTGACTGCTTGCAGCCTGGAGAAGGGCACCCGCAGGTCAGCCGGACGCCCAGGTTTGGTGGGGTCGCGCCAGAAATCAACCTGGTGGGGACAAAAGGAGACATTTCTACTGCCTTGGAGGGTCCAAGGACTCCATTTCAACTGCTGTAAAGGTTTTAAGAAAGCCTCCATTTCATCTGTCTTGAAGCATCTGATGTTCTCAATTTCTACTGCCTTCAAGGAAGTTCTTTGTTCCTACTGCTTTGAAAGATCCAGGAAGTCCTCTGTTCCTACTGTCTTAAAGGATCTAAGATGTTCTCAATTTCTACTGCTTTGAAGCATATGAAACATTCTCCATTCCTACTGTCTTCAAAGATCTAAGAAGATGTGTAGACAAATTTGGGGACCAGGAGGGTTGGGAGGCTCTTTACCTTACTCAATGGACCTTTTCTACAGACATACTTCAACCCAAATCGCTCATTGACACATCTTTGAATAAAGAGGATTTGTGAACTGAGCAGCTGCAATGAGATGATGGAGTCACTGTGTGCCAGTTTTGATCTTTTGGTAAAGATAAACCTGAAATCAGGTTTGTGGCAGGGAGTCTCTTCCCTATCACTGATTTATCTCTCTGTTACTCCTACTGCCATAATTTCTTGCCAAGATTCACTCCCCCACAGCAACCCAGCTTCTTCATTCAAGCAAAAAAATAAAAATAAGTTAAAAATTGATATTATGGTAGGCTCACCTGCAGGTCCACCTGCTCACCCAGTTCCCTGAGAAGGGCAATCTGCTCCTCATTGCTGGCCACAGCACGGAGGACTTGGTCCCTAGTGGGAGGTAGAGCCATGAGTGGGTGCAGGGGACAGGAAGGGGATGATAAGAGTGGTTCTCATTGAGTTAGAAATTGCATTTTCAGAACACGCTTGGGAAAAAAAATAAGCACTAGGGAGCTCAAGGTGGTCTCACGCCTTCCTTTGATCACAAGAGTGTCTAAAACTGTAGGAAATAAGGCAGGTTTGGCTTTAGCAGAAGGGAAGGGTGAACAAAAGAGCAAACACTTTGATAACGATGATTTATATTTGGGGAGGGATTTCGAGAGATTAGCATTATGAAATAAAACCCATTAACAGAGCTTTTTGCTTTTAAAATGGAGCCAAACGCTGAAGCACAGCTCTCTGGAGAATCTGAGCTTTCCTGCAAAATCCCAAATGTGTCTCAGTTCCCTGGGGAATGCTTGGAAGTCCCACCACCAGTGAAGGAAACACCCAAACGGATTTTTTCTTCATGCATAAGGTGAGCAGGATCCATCCCCATCCCCAAACCCAAACCCATTCCCATCCATATCCCCATCCCATCCCTATCCCAACCCCTGCTTTCAGCAAGACTCACCCCACAAAAAGCTGCTCGCTGAAGGTGCCCACCAGGAGGGCAGTGAAGACCAGGAGGACCTTCATGTTGACCAGGTGCTGGTAAGCCTTGGGCCCCAAATGCATATATGGGCACCTATATAGTCCCCCACCAAGGCCACCTCTGTCGTCCCTGCAGGGCCACTAGCCACAAGCAGATAAGCCAGAAATGGCTTCCGGGAGCCCAAATGTTTGTTTTATTTGGAGAAGTCAATAAAAGAGCAGCCAAGTCGGGAAGGATCTGATAACATCTTCCTCCAAGTCCAGTGCTGCCACAGACGGACGGTGAGGACGTGCTTCCGTGGGAGCAGGGTGGGACAGGGGATGGTGCCACAGTTGGGGGTCTTTTATGGCTTCATAACACCAAATCACAGGGTTCCTAGCTAGGATACCCTATTTGTGTTTGTGATGATGATTGTGAGCTGGTCCCAGCTGTGGTGCCAGGATTGAGGTCTTCGTTGAGGTGGATCGTGGTGTAGCTGAGATGAGATGGGATATCTGGAGGGCTGTATCCCACCTCCCAAATGACTCAGCACTGAGGGCAGCCCAAGTCCTTCCACGTTGGGTTTTGGAGTCTTCCAAGTGTAGAGACCTCACAGCCTGTTGAGGACTCAGCGCTGGGGGAAGCCCAGGTCCTTCCACGTTGTGTTTTGGAGTCTTCCAACGATGGAGACCCCACAGTGTGGTCTGTTGCTGGGTTGGCCTCCTGGTGGAAGATTTTCACGTGTCCAGCCTGAATCTCTTGTTTCAGATGATCCCATTGTCTCTCTCAGTGTTTCTGGTCCTGTTTTCACAATAATATCCTCATAAGAATAGGAGGGCTGCTATTGGGTCCATCTCATTTCCAGGCCAGATCAACCCATTTCGGTGTCCCATCATAAGACGTCCTCCTGTCCTTCCTGGTGGCCTCCACCAGACTTGCTCAGGGTCCTGTTGATACTGCAGACCCCAAAAGTGGATGTAGTCTTCCAGCCATATGCCTTCAGAAGAAGGGCCAGGTAACCTCAAAACATAGATGTTTGGATTGAAGCTTCAAGGGTCTGCAACTTCAGCAAGAGTCCCTGCAGCTCAGCAGAATCCAAGAGCTCTGCAGCCCTAGTCCTCCCACTAGCAAGATTTTCCCAGCAGCATTTTATCACTGGTTGGAGGACAGGGTTTTGGAACAGGTTGGAAAATGAGTGCCAGGAGGGTACAGGCTGCTCTGTACCCATCACAGCTGTGTTTAACCCAATAGCAGTAGTACCACCACTTTTAATTCCTTGCCAATGAGTCTGAACTAACATTTCACCCACTCGTATCAGGAGTGTTTGCTCTCCTGACAAGCACACGGAGCAGTGAGTAACTCACCAGCTGCTGGGGGATTAGAGGACGAGATAAACCTTGGGTTAGGTTTGATAAAAGTACAAAATGCTGCTAAGGGCGATTGTTGCTTGGTGCAAACACATTTGGCATTTATTAATGAAGACGGAGCTGCAGAGGGCACCCAAGAGACCGTAGGGCAGGATGCTTTGATGCAGTCTTCTCCTTTCCAAGCTCATCTTTTGGCTGAGTCCTAAAATCTGTGACACCCTGTAGGAGTCTACCAGACCCACAGAAACACACAGAAACCAACATAACAAGGATGGTGTTCAAGAAACGTGTAGCTACAATACTTAGAGATGTGGTTTATTGGGCAATACTGTTGGCAGGTGGATGACTGGATTAGAAGATGTTAGAGGTCTTTTCCAACACTAATGTTTCTGTGATTCTATGATTCTATGAAACACTCAGAATACATGCAGGGTTTTTATTCAGACAGCTGCTGTATGATTACAGCACATCAAAGGAAGAGGATTTCTCAGCTTGCTGATCTTGACCGCTGATTCCCATCCCTGCTTTCAGTATGGGTTGTCTTGTACATATTCCATGATTGTTTTCAGACCCAGCCAGGTCTCCTCAGCAGTGGGGATAATTTGGGCAGCTGGAAGGAGGAATCCATAGCGACCCGTGTCTCGCAGCTCGAAGGCAAATGAGTATTTGATGCCATAATCATAGCTCCAGTCAATGCTGCCTCCGCTGGCTTGGTCTGGAAAGAGAAAGAGAGAAAAAACAGTGGATGAACAGAGGATTGATCTGAGTTCTGCTTTCATACTTCTTATGCCTGTATGAGGGGCAAGTATGAGGTTTCCATGGAAGAACTCAGCTTCAAAGTCACTCTCCAGAAGGAGCTCTGCTCCCAAAAGGGGATCAGAAGAGCAAAATTACTCACAGATAGTAGTGCAAATGCTCCCCACCGTGTAGGTGGTGCCATACAGGGACTGGATGGAATTGGCAGCAGCTTTCCCTATGGTGTTCTGCAGAGGGAAGGATAAAGGATGAGTCAGAGTGTAGCCACATTACATGTTAAGATTTCACCAGCCTGAATCGTACTCAGGAAAATCTCCAAACTCGTTTACAGCCTGTTCTCACTCCCACAAAAAAAAAAATACAATCACACCAAATCAATCAATTTCTTAATTACTCATCCTACTGACAGTCCTGTCCACTTCAATTATGACAGTGGTTCATATTCTATCACAGATATTACAGCTGAAATGCTGTCCTTAAAGCAGAAAGAAGGATGAGCAAAGGCCAAGAATGGAGGAGGTCATGTGCTTGCATAAGACCATGGCTTTTCTTTTAAAGGCACTGCATTTCCCCAGGTCTTTGCTCGCTCTCGTGGATGGTTACTGTTATGGACAGCCCTTGTTTTCATCCTGATAATTTCAGTGTGGAAAGCCAGCTGGACAGAACAGAGGAAGCTAAACCCAAGTCATTGTGTCTCACCAGCTCGGCGTTGTCTGCTGGTGGAGTGCATTTATAACCATAGGGATACATCAGGAGCTGAGAGTAACTGTGCAGGGTGAGGAAGGCCCGGATGTTTCCGTGATTCTTAATAAAATTTACAATAGATTTAACTTCCACCTCTGAGTTGGCACTGGGTCCATGGTAAGAGTCAGAACAGGGGTTATTACTGGCTCCAGGACCTGTTGGTACAAAGTGAGAACAAAGATAAATCTTTAAGAATTGGTGCTCATGGAAGTTCAAGGCGGATCAACACTAAGCTGAACTTTCCTATGATCCAAAAGCTTTAAGTGCTGATAAATACTGGAGCAGAATACCCAAGGGACATCAGTTCTGGAAGATACAGATTACTTCCTTTATCCCTTGCTCATTAGTAATCAATCAATATGAAATTATCCTTATAAACAGCTACCATTCTATTTGATAATTTTTTTTCAGAGTCCCTTATATTAAGGAAATTGCTGGTCCAGTATAATAGGATTCAGGGGCACAAAAGGGAATTTTCTTCTTTCAGCTAGAATCCAGAAACTTTATCCTTACCTCCAAAACCTGCGTCCCAGTTCCTGTTTGGATCCACTCCAATACACAGACTGCCTGAGTTCTTGGAGCGGGTCTTCCGCCACATGCGATTCTGAAACCAGGACACACTTTGGCTTAAAAGGCACAGATCTCAGTCCTTGCATTAACCCTGTTGTCTAGAAATAGTTGCCATTCAGCAGGAAGGGATGCTAGACACAAGCCTGAGAATATTTCTGATGAGCTGACAGCCAAGGAGTTGCAGAATCAAAGGGTTGGTGAATTTACAGTGAGGAAGAAAGATGGATTAGACAACTATCTTTGGCTTCTTTTGTAACTCCACCCTAAAACATCAGGAAATGGACTTTCAGAGCTTATTTCCCTCACTTTTATTGGCCTGGAAAGGCATGACAGCTTTCTCAGTCAGCTAAGACATACAATGTGCTTTACTCACTGTGGTGTGAGTGAATTCGTATCCATCAGGGTTAGCAACTGGCAGCAGGAAAATGTCCAGGTTGTTCAGCAGAGAAGTGGTGGATGGATCATTCCCATAGTCAGAGGCAATCTATGCAGACACAATGCGGTACATCGTGATTATCTGCAAATTTCTTACCCTCTAACAACTGTGTACAGAGGCAAGACTGGCTTTCAGAGCAGGCAAAAGAAAGTCCACAGAGCAGGCTGAACACATGCAGGTTCAGTGAACTTTTAAGTAGAGGCATACTCGAGACAAAATAGCATCAATCACTGTCAAAGTGACCTTTCTAGCTATCCACATTGCACTCGCTTGGGTAACCCACTCTCGGGAATGGATGCCAGCATCGAGCCAGATCGCAGGGCGGTTTCCTCTTCCAGTGCTGAACTGTCAAACAAAAGAAAAAGTATTTAAAACCCTCACCCAGTAAAATCATCCCATACAGACAAGGCTGAATTGTGCTTCATCTACACCACGTATGGATGTTAGTATTGCTATATTCATATGCACTCACACTGTGATGTGTGATATATCATACCTTGAGCGCATACAACGGCCGCTTTTCATAGGATTCCCCAATCTGGATCTTACTGACAATGTTGCCATACTCAGATGCAAGATTATCCAGTTCTTGGTAAATCTGAAATGAAAAGCCACGGTGGCATTTACATCACATTTCTGTACAGTGCTGCCCAGAAAGGTGCAGGGCCTGCTGAAAAGCACTTTTGTCTCCTTTTGCCTTGCCGTGGTCTTGCCAACACCTCACCACACCTTACATCAGCATAGTCAGTACTGTTCCCAACATCACAGATGTAAACAGAAGCACATCATAGAACCATAGAATAGCCTGGGTTGAAAAGGATCACAATGATCATCCAGTTTCAACCCCCCTGCTATGTGCAGGGTCACCAACCCCCAGACCAGGCTGCCCAGAGCCACATCCAGCCTGGATCAAGATCCATTTATTACAGGAATAAGTTCAAAAACTTCTTTCAAAACCTTCTTTAATAACTTCTGGTAGTAAACAAGAGGGAAAAAAAATTTTCCCTCTACTCTGCTTGATGGTTACCAGCACCCTGTATTTTCTTACATTCATTGATTTCTCAGTTTCATTTGAAGGTCAGAATTGAGGGGCTTTGACAGAACTTTGTAGAAGTTTATCAAGAAGTACAATCAACACTTGCCTGTTCTAACACTCTGTGAGGGAGCATTGGCTTCTCATGCTGACTGACCATGAAATTAATATATTAAAAAACCCAACTGTCTACCAGAAGAAGCCAGAAAGGAATTTTTCAAACTTAATATGTTTGAAATATGATTAATATGATTGAAGACAGCATGGAAAAAAAAAAAAAAAAAAAAAAAAAGGCCAGAAAAAAAGAATAATCTTCCCCAAAATCTAGATCTGAAGTACTCACAGAAGCTAAAGAATGGTAAGTTCCATAGTTGAAAGCGCTGCTGCTGCGTTCCATTTGTTGACTGGCAACTATATCTTGCTTTTCTCTGTCAAGAACGACCTGAAATAAGCCATTCAATTATTGGAAAGCATGCTTACTTCCAAACTTATGACCAAATGTTTGTCAAATAATGAAACGGTGGCATTGCACACTCACTGAAAGAGGCCAGACTGTGAATCACTATTTGGTTCCCCAGGATTTAAAAGCTGATCACACAACATTGCCTACCTGCAGGTCTTCAATCAGGATTGAGTACTCAATCCCATGGGACTCCAGGAAGACTTTGACTGCCTGGAGGCTGTGAGCAGGGATTCGTACATCCACAGGGAGGGCAGGGGTGGAGGGATTTAACCAGAAATCAAGCTGAAAAGAGAAGGGAAAATGGATTTGGTTTGGGGGACATTGTGCTTTGCAACAGTTTTCCTATAGCTTTAGAAAGAGAGATTTCTTCCAAAGTTGAATAACTCCTGCAATGTTGTTCCCCATCATGCAGAAAGAAATGATAATCATTTTACTATTCTTCCTTTTAGCAGCAGTAGTTTCAAGAATAATATGAAAAGCATTGCTTTTATTTCCCCTTTGGTTGGGCTGTTCTAAAGTCTAGTTTCTATAATATTCAAATCAATATATTTTTTTAAAGTAAGTGATAAGAAAAATTCTCACCAATGGCAATAAGAGCAGTAATAACTGAGAACTTAATAGCATATTTCCTGTTTCAATATAATGCAGATTGATTAACAAATTCTTTCCACTGCTCTGGGTGACAAGTAAAAAAGTATTAGCATCCCATTTTCACAGTGGGGTTTTTGATTCTAAGATCAAGAGCAGTTCAAATATAATTGCAAACCCAACAGGGAGAAAATGTGGATGCAGGCACTCCTGACTGCAAGGCTGATACTAGAACTAGTAGATCAAAAAACACATGTTGTGACAGTATCTCCCTATGTCATGGTGCAAACCTTCCAAATCTAATGCAAAGTCCTACCAGGCTAAGTCCTACTACAGTCTGAAGTGTTAAATAATGCCCCTGTGACAGTGAAATACCTCAAGATGATCCAATGTTTCCAAAAACTGGAGCTTCTTCAGTTGTTCCTCATTTCTTGTCTTGATACGGAGAACCTGGTGCCTGCAATAAATTAGAAACAGCCATGGTTGGAACTAGATCATCTCTGAGGTCCCTTCCAATCCAAGCCAATCTATGATCCTATGATTGAGAAGGGGTCTGGTTGAACTTACTATTGAGATTACAAATTTGTTGAGTAGTTATAGAACCATAGAAACATACAGTTTGAAAAAAAGACCACGATCAGCCAGGCCAACCACCAACACAACACACCACCACCCCCACTAAGCCATATCAGCCAATACTGACTTCTTTAATTTAGTTGACAGTGCTGCCCAGGAGTTCAATCTACAAGCTGCAGAACCAGCCTGGTACATGAGCACTGGATTAGAAACAAGATAAAGGGAATGCTCAAGATCTCATCATAAACAATACACCATGTGGATGAGTTGTTAATTGGTTACAAGGATTCATGCTCTATCTATTCATTCCTCTTTGTCAAGAACTTGCTAGAAAAAAATAATTGTTTGTGAACTATTGAATGTTTGCAGAGCAAACAAAGCAGAGAGAACACTAAATATGGGGTTTGTTTCACTTTTCTTCAGTCTAGTCAGGCTATTGACAAATTCCTCTGCGTTACCATGAGAGGGTGGCTTGTAAATCCAGGTGGTTAATCCCCTCCTGGAAGCTCCTTGCTCTGCTGCTTACAGGAGTAATCTCAGACATTTATTTAACTACAGCACAACACAGCCATCACGATGTCCCTAAGTGGTTTTTAGAACATGAAAATGATGCACAGTGATCCAGGTGGTTTAGGAAAATGAAAGTGAGCAGAGCTGATGCTGCCTTTGCTGGTGGCATATGGGGATGGGTTTGTTTGCATTCTCTTCCCCAGGCTACTGTTGGAGACAACCAACATCCGTGAGGTCCCATATCCCAACCTGGTTTAGCTGCTTTGTTGGCACCCAGTGCAAGCAGTGCTGGAAATTGGAGATGACTCAGTGCAAATCAATACGAATAACTGCAGAATTGGAAATCACATTGTAAGAAAAGGCAAAGAAGAAACTTAAGATAGGAGCTCCATTATGTGTGTATTTATTTGCTAGTGTGACCTCAGCTGCTGAGAAGAAAAGCTCTTTAACTCCAGTTTCCTCGATCTGCTTAACTGAGGTGTAAAATTTTTTTACCAAATTAAGTCAACAAAAAAGGTGCTTTACCACTTTAACTTACTATTGGATTGTCCATGATTGTAAGATTTATTTTGAATTAGATTCTTCCCTGAAGAAGAGATGAGGTTCACTAACCATACTTCTGGATGTGACTGAGGAATGAATTCACAAGAACCCAACCTGCATTATGCCAGGAATCAGATTAATAGGTTCTCCTGGTCTTGATATTAACACTAGAATTTTAATAAGTAATGATTATTATTTTTCTTTCTCTTAATCCTTACATTTCAATGTAGAGATATACTCAGTAGAATCCAATGTTCACTTACTACATCTATTACTCTTAGGTTTTCTATTATTTCCTTTTATAGTTCCTATGGGGTCAATAAGGCTGTGAGGAAAAACAGAAATAATTTTGCAATGCAATGTACAGAAGAACCTTCAGAATGGCTGGAAATAAAGATTCAAATTATTTAGAAAGGTTCTGAAGGGTATTATGTGTTTAAAGAGAAATAGGAACCTTCAAAACAATGGGAAACTATTGACCCTTCAGACCTAAAGGCAGGCTGTGATCTTCTGGCTCTGGTCTGTGCTGGATCAGATCTGAACTCTCTCAAGTGCTGCAGTGAGGTTCAACTTTAGGTCTTGGTTGAGATCTTAATCTGCATCAAAGCTGCAACAAAGCCTTGCTTGAATGTGAATTTTGGAGCTCAACTCTGCAACTGAACCCTTGTCCTCAAATGAGTCAGATGAAACTAAAGAAGGGATTCCTTCAAACAAGGGAGAACCAAAGCTGTGGAACAAGCTTGGTCATAAAAAGCAAAGAATGTGCCCCAAGCTGATTTTGTAAAGATAAGGAAGAACAAGAGTCTTGCAGTGAAAGGCCTTGCACAAAAGCATGACTCACCCAACAAAAGTTTCCAGGCACAAGGCAGCCCCAAAGAGGGCACTGAAGATCAAAATCAGCTTCATGGTTGATGCGAAGGGCAACTCAGCCTAGCAAAGGGGAATTTATACAGGACTTGTTAGGAATCCCTTCTTCAAAACATATGAATTCCATGTGATTAAATTCTCACATGTATCAGCATTTCAAGGTAACAAACAGATAGGAGGCCAATTTCAGCTCCAGAAATTTTTTTCCACTCGGGTTCAAACCAGTAAAGAATTATTTTCAATGCTTTGCTCACAAAGAATTCTAGTAAATGTTTTTCTAGGTAGAGGAAAGTAGAATGAAATTAAATGTTATCCCAACTGTTACTGGGGGCAAGGAGTCCTACCTATAGATTCTTGCCTTGGATTTTTCTCCTGCCCCATTAGCCTGCCCCAGCAGAAAGATCTCACCCTATCAAAAATGCTTGAACTGAATAGTTATTTTGAAGGATGAGCTCTAGCTCACAAGTTACATATTCTATTATATATATTCTTTATTGAAACTAGCATCTCCAATCTTCAGTTGTGGTGGTTTCATACGGATTCAGTGCTTCAACCAAATGAAGGATGCAGCAAGTTTCACATGAAGGCAGTGCACAGTAGGAGCAGAAACAAAGCCATGGGTGAACAGGAACTCAGGAACTCAGCTCTGCAGCTACTCTCCTCCTTGGACAATTTTGCCAGACATCCTTATCTAATGAAGAATTTTCAGAAGGCTTCATAAAGTGCTGATGCAGCCACTGCTGGAGCCTCTCAGCCTTACAGTGCCCACAGGGCTGTTCCCTGATCCAAAAGCTCTCTGCCTCCCTTTGCTTTTGTGCTGGATGCTGTTTTCGGCTCACTTCGTGGGGGATGGACTGCATCTTGTTGGCCTTCCACACTGGTGCCCAGCTATATGAGTTGCCATTGTCAACATTGGATGTTCTCTCCTGGCTGAGCTTTGAGAACTGTTTCTCTTGCCTTTGATCACAGGAACACGTCGCTGTGGTTGTCTCAGAGTGACAGGTAGAGATGTAGGGCAGTTGGATGCACTTTTTCTTTATCCCATTATAAATGTTACTAAGGAAGAGCCAGGCATTGAAAGTGCTGTAAAATGTGTAGACAGGGCTACTGGGAACTAACATGGGAGAGAACAGAGACAGTTCAGCTACTCTGCAGTCAGCCTCAGATTGCCCTCCCAGGAGCCACACCTTTCACCCTGAAAATCTTGGTGAAGGACTGAGGAAAATAAATCTCTGAATAAATCCTCCAAGGATGCCCCATCCTTGGGGACACTCAAGGTCGGGTAGGATGGGACTCTGAGCAACCTGATCAAGCTGTAGGTGTCCCTGTTCCCTGCAGAGGAGTTGGGCCAGATGACCTTTAAGGGTCCCTTCCAACTCAAATGATTCTACAGTTTACCACCACCTCCCCCAATTTCCTCTCCTACCCTGCTACTCCTATCCACCACTTGTGTGCATAGCTCATAGCACATAGTTCATAGCTCATAGATCATAGCTCATAGCTCATAGCTAAGTCTCTTCCAAGGGAGCCTCAGGCAGGGATTATTCCTGATTTGGCAAAAAGGAGTTAGTCATCCTGCAATGGCTGTATCTTGGAGGCATATTATGGAGTTATACACTCTGCAAGGAGCTAAAAATGGGTTCCTGCGAGTCCACAGGTCTTCAGTGTCCATGGGAAATGAGCAGATCTCCTCTCCCCTCAAAGTAAATCAGGTAAGGTGAGTTTCTCCTTAAAGACACGACCCACCAGGAGGATTTCCTGCTTCTAGCACTGCAATAATTCTGGTGGAACATAAATTCAAACTGCAGCCTTCAAAATTCTGTAGAGAACTGGCAGTGCATCCATGCCACCTCCTGTGGATTCACTCTTTCAAAACAGGATGGAGAGGCTTAATTTAGGGTGAAATTACAGCTTGTTCATTAGTCACGCTATATCCTGCATGGAGTTAAAGGCTGCCAAGAGATCCTGACAAATATTATGTCAGAGCCCAGAGCATACCAACAAGTGCCCTGACCAGTCCCATTTAGTGCCTCCACCCACTGCATTTAAGTCCAAGCCTTTGCACCCACTCCTGATCCTCACTGAAGCGTTGAGGTGGTTACAGAAGTCTGTGACCTCCCTTTGTAGCCATGAGATCCTGCAGGGCTGAACCACAGAGAAAATCATATGGAAAAAGCCGTATGCAGGCTGAAAGTCAACCTCATAATGTTCCACTCAGGGTTCAGGACACCAGAGCAAATGATGGAGCAGCAAGAGCAGAGGTGTACCACTACAGTGAGCCAGAAGCCAAAGGTGACAGCAAAGGCAGGTAATGTAGAGAGCTCACCGCAAGCAGCACGGCCCCACAGGACCCAAACACGAGGAGCAAAACAAGTCTGGTGACACCGACCAACGACAGCCAGTCCAGATCCCCAGATAAGTCCACAGTTGCAATGCAGGTCCAAGGGCAGGTTGTCTAGAGCTATGAGAACTCTCAGAATCCACAGCAGCTCAAATGACCAAATGAATGTCCTCAGCTTAAATGCAGCTCACAATGGGCGGAGGATGTGTGGGAGGGTGCCCCATGTGAGGCCCTGACACATTTGTGTGGGCAGAGTGGGATGCTCTGTGCAGTCCCAAAATGCTGTCCCATGCAGTGAATCACAAATCCTGTGGTGGCACATTAACGAGTGAAGGGTTAAATGAAGAGTTAAGCCATCAAGCTTAGAGGGAGTCACTCATTTTTGTAAAGTTTGGACCTTCTGTCGTTGCCTGTATCTGAAAAAATGCAACCAAGATACAGCATGGCAGTCTCTCCTGTCATGTGGGAAGGGTAATGGCTGAGTAGAAGGAGGCAGCATCTGTTCTCACTGTGCCCTCAGAGCACGTCTGAGATGGAGTCTACGACCTGTGGCTCCACTTATCTCCTATCCTGTGGCTAAAATCAAGTGTTTGGCAATTTGTAGGAAAGTGAAGGAGAGGGAGTAAGAAGGGAGGATGAGCAGTGCTACTCTCCTAGTGCTCCTGGTGCCCCTCATTTTCCCTCTGCCCTCTCCTCATACATCTCCTCCTGCTCTCTCAAGGGGTCATGGGGCATTTTGTGTCAAACTTCTGTGAATCCTATGCACAAATTTACAAAACTCATCTTTACCTTTGGAAGCATTCTCCCTTTTGTCAGAATGTAACCTTTTATCTTGAGCTTTCCAGAAGATCTGTTTCAGGAAAATAACATTTGTTACTTAGAACAGTGTATAAACACTACTTCCTTCAGATCCAGGGGGAAAAGCTGGATATGAAAAAATATGCTACAGTACATAGAAATGTTTGTCAACCTGCAACAGCAGCACAGCAAAGGGGCTCCATCTGTAACTCTGCCCTGTCTGGCCTAAGTTAATCCAGTGCAATTGTCTATGATGCAATTCATTGTGGATTACTGCTGGGAGAACTATTATTTCTGTAAGTAATGGATTACTTCTTCGTTCCTAATCCACAAGGCACCTTAGCAATGCCCCAGATAAGGAATGAGTAAGGATTTAAGTACGTGGCTCACCATTACTAGACAGCACTGGCATCATTTTAGGATCAAAACCCTCATATTGATCTCCCCAGAGAATGTGTAACTCTGTGCCAATGAAATAAAACTGATTGCAGTGAAGCTATTTATATCCAACTTAAGTTTCTTCAAATCAGGAAATCCATGCCTTCCACTTTTCAGCTAATTACTAACTAGTAATAATCAAAAGAGGATGGAAATGGTACTGAGGGAGATACAATTGCTTACTTACACCTGGAGATTAAAGGTAGTCTAACAGCAACATCATCCCTTGAGATAATTACAAATAATAATAACTTCCTCAGAAGTTCTTCACAAGGCTCATAATGGACTTCTGATGGAGTCCAGCAGGTGTCAGCACAAAACACAGCATTAAATGGTATCTTACTTGAGTGTAAGCACAGCAGAAAAGGCAGATAATCAAAATGCCAGTGCAGCTCCAAAACAGGATTTCCCCTTCAATCCTCCCAAAGCCTTCCTCATCTTCATGGTATTTCCTCTCATCTGGTTTCTGACTGGTGACAGAGGCCAAGAGCTCATTTTGTAGATCATACCACCAAAGATAGCAAGAAGGGTGTCCCATGGAGCTGCGTTGCTGAAAACAGAACTTTGTGTTATCCCTGCTCCAGAGGGACAGCATTGCTGCATTCAGAGCAGCTCCTCAGCAACCCTTTGTCCAACAGCCAGACTCTGGAACACCTGGAGAGGAAGCACAGACATGATGACATCACAAGAGTTTGTCTTTTTAGTGCCCGTTAAATCCTTTGGCTCTGATCCACGGTGTGCTCACAAGTTGTTGTAAGAGATTATTATTTTGCATCATTGTCTCAAAGCTTGCTGAGGACACAGACGAACAAGTTCAGGCAAGTCCTGGTCAGGGGTTGAGAAATCCTTTGTCTGGAGAAGTTTGATGGACAAGTCCTGGGCAAGGATTGTGAAATCTTTTGTCCGAGGGTCACAGATGGACAAGGCCGGGGGCAACGAGAGAGAGAGAAGCTGCACCTTCGTAGCTGTGAAGTGGTCTTTTGTGTGGACTTATCTCAAGGAAGATGGCCATCTCAGGAAGTACTCGCATGACTCTTGCTGAAGCGCCGAGCGATGTCACGTAGGCAGGAGAAGAAGTAGGATAAAAGAGGAATTGAAAACCATGAGGATAGGGTTTCTGCCATCAGATTCCTCACTACGGAATGCCTGCATACTGATGGACTTTCCTGGGCCTGCTACCTGAGTCCTGCTGCTTCCCCTCCTGGACTGGCTCTGCGACTTCTTCCTGTTACCTGCTTGCTGCCCAAGGCCGGCCACGCTGCTGCTCTCCCCCCTGCTGCTCCTGCCTCGGACCTCCGAAACAACGTGCAACGGGACCGCTGCTGGATCCTGGTGGTGACTATCCCTGCTTTATGGCATTCTTGCTTTTTTTTCCCTATCTTTTCTATCGCCCTCCTTCCCTTCCCCGTCTCCCTCATTAGGATTTATAAATAAACTAGTTGGACTAACATATGAACCGCTGTTTCTTAATCTCACACCGGATATACAGATATTAAAAGAACCTCACCTCCCTCCTATAAATTGGAGCGAGACAGTTGTAAAGTCATAGAATCACAGAATGGCTTAGGCTGGAAAGAGCCTTAAAGATTACCTAGGTCAAGTTGCAGCAGGGATGCTCTCGAGGAGTTCTACCAATCTGTATATATATAGAATCACAGAATCACAGAATTGCCAGGGTCAGAAGGGACCTCAAGGATCATGGATCTCCAACCCCCCTGCCACACGCAGGGCCACCAACCATTCCACCTAATGCTAGACCAGGCTGCCCATGGCCCCATCCAACCTGGCCTTGAACACCTCCAGGGACAGGGCATCCACAACCTCCCTGGGCAGCCTGTTCCAGTACCTTACCATTCTCTCTGTAAAGAATTTCCCCCTGACATCCAACCTAAATCTCCCTTCCCTCAGCTTAAAACCATTTCCCTTTGTCCTGCTGTCACTCACCCTTTCAAAGAGTTGATTCCCCTCCTGTTTGTAGGCTCCCTTTAGGTACTGAAAGGCTGCAGTGAGGTCACCCCGCAGCCTTCTTTTCTCCAGGCTGAACAAGCCCAGCTCTTTCAGCCTGTCCTCATAGGGGAGGTGCTCCAGTCCCCTGATCATCTTCGTGGCCCTCCTCTGGACCCTCTCCAACAGTTCCCTGTCTTTCTTGTACTGGGGGCTCCAGACCTGGACGCAGTACTCCAGATGGGGCCTCACAAGAGCAGAGTAGAGGGGAAAATCACCTCTCTGTCCCTGCTGGCCACCCCTCTTCTGATGGAGCCCAGGATCCCATTTGCCTTCCGAGCCACAGGGGCACACTGCTGGCTCATATTAAGTTTTTCATCCATCAAGACCCCCAGGTCCTTCTCCACAGGGCTGCTCTCAAGGACCTCTATATAGGTCTATATAGGTCTATGTTTGCCCTGACCCAAATGCAACACCTGCAGTTGGCCTTGTTGAACCTCATTAGGTTCATGTGGCTCACTCCTCAGGCCTGTTCAGGCCCCTTTGGATGGTGTTCATTCCTTCTATTGTGTCATCTGCACCACTCAGCTTGGTGTCATCAGCAAATTTGCTGAGGGTGCACTCGATCCCTCTATTTTTGTCACTGAACCAGTCCCAAGACAGATCATTGGGGGACACCACTGGAAAACCCACTGGGAACACCACTAGGACACCTGCTGAGGTGGGTGGTTGGACTGGATGATCTTGGAGGTCTTTTCCAACCTTAGTGATATTATGATTCTATGATCTTAAAATGTATGTTCATAAGTACAATAATATGTGTTCTAAATCACTTATGTATAAGTCTCGAATATATGATAGGATTCCTAAAATATTCTGTAATTAATAAAGATCTTTGATATTATGGAATTAAGGAGAGATTTTAGCTCCACAGATGCCCGTGAATGAACTTTTGGAATTTAGGCTACCATGTGAACAGACCCTGTCATTTCTGCATGTAGTCCTTAGCATGGAGAGTACATATATGAGCAGTTACACAAATAATAATCTTTTTCATTGTAGGCAATTAATGTGTACTTGCATGTCTCCCCTGGGCCTCCTCTTCTCCAGACTGAACAAGTCCAGTGTATTTTGAAGAACATCCAGAAATCAAAGCAAAAAGGCTGAACAGAGATGCAAAGGCAAGTCCTAGAGAAAACACAGAAATTTCTATAATGCCAGGTGGACTGAACACAGGGAATAGCAACTCATGATTTTTCTCTCCCTCTTGTCACTTTTCACCATGTAGTTCTATTTGACACGGCTAGTTTAGAGCCTACTCATCTGAACAGACTGCCCAGGGAGGTGGTTGAGTCACCATCCCTGGAGATGTTCAATAAATGTGTAGATGTGGTACTAAGGAACATGGTTTAGTAGGCAACATTGGTGGTAAGTGGAATAGATGATCTGAAAGGTCTTTTCCAACCTTAATGATTCTGTGATTCTTTCCTGGCATACATAGACAACTGGGAGACACATTCTCCCTTCTTGTCAGTGAGAACAATGTTTGGAACACCTGACCAGGTGAGAAGTACTGCACCTTATTATCACTTTTTACCACATCTTATCACCTGTTTCTCTCCATTATCTACATTAGGATGAGCTGCTGTCCTTTATACTGAGATTATGTGGGATGAGTCCCATTCCTGGAGTCCTGCAGGAGCTCTGACAGATTCTATCACAAAGATATTTTGTGAATCTCCAGCGTTCTTCCATTGGCTACATGTCCAGAAGGATGAATGTCAATTAACAGGAGGCCGAGGAAGGAAAAAGGCGAGCAACAACTGCTTGTAAGTTTAATAGTGAATAAATTTACAAATAATCCCCATGTGCAGCCTACTTCATTAACCCAGAGCAGCTTAAATGGCAGCTGCAGATGCCAAGGATGCTCAATGAGGAGGTGCTGGGGTTTCCATTTTTCCATTCCAGCAAGAAACACCGCCTGCCTTTGTAGTGATCTGCATAGCTTCAGAACCCATCTGATCCTGAGCATCCTCTATGGCAGAATTTGCCCATTTTCCCAGAAGCTATTTAATAGGATGGGCTCAAAGCTCCTGGCTGATATGAGCACAGCTTCACTTCCTGAGGATTCTGCTGGTTGTGTTCCCACATGTACTACACTATAGAGTCTGAGGGCAAATCCTCCTCCTCACCCTCAGGTAACTATTTCAGGGGGAATCACCATTTCTTGGAAGCATCCCATTAGAGTCTCTGTCAGTTCCCTGCACCTCAAACTGAAAATTCAACAGAATAAATGCGTGGCTTTCAGTCCTGGTTGCTGATAGAGGTCATTAGAGGGTCTTGTTAGCGAGCACCTCAGAGCCAAGATGGCGGCGCCCTCACTCGCCCCTTCCCGCCCAAACCGTCCGCCAGCAGCCGTCCCCATAGCAACAGGCGCCATCCCCATAGCAACAAGCCCCGCCCTCTCCCCGGCGTGTCGCAGGTAGTGACGTCACTTACAGTCGCCCACTCGCGCAGGCGCAGACGGTGTGGCCGTTGTGGCGGTGGCTGCGTGAGGGGAGCGCGGTGGGGTTGGCGGTGTTTCCGTTGTCCTTGAGGGAAAT